TTGGTGGGAGTACCGATGAAGCAAACGTATATTTGCCATAGCAATCGACTACGTTACTTATATTCGTATGAGAGTAGGGTTTCGTGACTCATGTGAAATTCAATGGAAACGTCAGCTAAACTCATATCATTGTGGGAAAATTCTACTACCAGTAATTCATCACCATAGACGAAATAGGGTGAATACATATCATTACACTGATTTACTGGTAGTCTCAAAACCCTACTCTCATACACGAGTTTTATTTATTTTTATCTCTTACTTACGAATAGTCATACTTAAGGTAGGGCGCCATGGAAAAATGTTAATTTAAAAAGAGCGCCGCGACTAGGAAAAGTTTAGGAACCACTGACCTATGGTAATATTCCGGAATTGGGAAATAGTATAAAATGCTTTTCGTATATGCAAGTGCGTGTTTGTGCGCGTAAATGCATATGATTAATAAAACGCCGGGGCAATATTTGAGTAATTCCAACAGATCATGGCTCAATGTGGACTTCAGGCTATTTTAATAATCTATGAGATATGTTCACCCAATTTCGTCTGAGATGATGGAGGACTGGTGGTTCAATTTTACAGCAATGATATGAGAAGAGTTGACGTTTGCAATGAACACCTTTTGGGAAAGCAAAGCTATGCGAAATTAATAGGAAACGTCAGCTCAACTCAACTACCAGTCCTTAAACGAAATAGAGTGAACATAACTTATAGATCTGATTTACTGGTAGTCTTGAAAACCTACTCAAAATGAAATATTATATTTTTCGAATTGGAAACATCAGCCAAACTCATATCATTTGTGGGAAAATTCTACTTCTACCAGTCCTTCATCACCTTAAACGAAATAGGGTGAATACATCTTATAACTGATTTACTGTTAGTCACGAAAAACAATACTTAATTCGAAAAATAAAGTAGTTATAGCAAAACAGACGTTTGCTTCATCGACAATTCCACAAAAAAAGCATATGATATGGCAAAAAGGCCTGGCCTTCCTTAAAAATTAACATTTGCCTTGTGACCCAAAAGGCGCTCGTGGCAGTGTAGCCGAGTGGTTATCGTGTCAAGCTACCGTCCTGCACTGTCACGGTTCGACTCCCGCTGGGGGTTTTGATAAGATCGATGCGAGGTCGAAACTGCAGTCCACTCCAGCCGGGATGAGAACAACTTTTGGGAAAGGAAGGCTATGTGAAATCCAATGGAAACGTTAGCTCTACTCATATCATTGTGGGAAAATTCTACTTCTACCAGTCCTTCGTCACCTTAAACGAAATTGGGTGAATACATCTTATAACAGAAATATTATAATAATGACCAGCTGTGATGCTTCATTTTAAAAGAATAAAGACTCGGAGCATCTTTATCAGAACTGAAGGAGGCTATTTGCAAGAGTGCGTCAGTATGAACGCCTCCGCAATCAAACAACGGTAGGCAAAGGTCCCATCTTTCTTTAAATAAAGACTTTCACATAAAATGAAAAGCAGCCCAGCATCGAAACATCAAGAAATTCTTCAAAACTCAATTTCTCTTCATCAATGCTAAGACATTAATGAGGTCAAAAATACGGTCTATAATTGAAAGTCACTGGTTAAAGTCAAATCGTCACTTCATTGTGAGCGAGTTAACTAACATTGTCTTTGATAAATGACGAAATATGTGCGATTTCAGTCCTAAACTACAACAATAAACTAGACAGCATCAGGGGAACCGATAAAGCAGATAAATTAAGATTTTTGCAATCTTTATAAAAAGAAGAATAGAAGGGGATCGATATGATTATCGTAGTCCTTAGTTTGATCTGTCCTACTGTTAAAGACATAATCAGGGCAGGAAGCCGTTCCTAGGCTAACTTCATCAAACACGCCTCATAAAACAGACGAAGGCTCAACACAAATTCATTCGAGTGAAGGACGGTTTTCCAGGGATTTTTTTCCTAAGTCGACATTCGCAACTGTTTCTTTTCGAGTTTTAATGAGACAAACCGACGAATCTTTTTCATTTGACTCTCCCCATAAAGCGATAGATCCAGTAACATTAAACTAGTAAGGGATTCCTCAAAACCAAGTTTTCGATTATCAGTGCAAGTTAAGATTTACGCATATGAGTAAACTAAAATAAATAATAGGAATAGACAAATAAGGTGTTTTAGGAAAAGAGGCTTGACAGAAAGTAGCTTGCTGGTTAGGATATGATGTGAGAAAAGCGAAAGATGAATGGCCTTCAGGAACGTGTGAACAATAAGCATGTGTAAAGTTGATGTGTGAAGTATAAATGTGAAAGTGTTACCTCAACTTGTACCATTGCCTTGCGATAATAGCGAAGATGCAGGCAAACTGAGAATGGGTCTATCCATTCGACGTTACTCAACACCTGACGCAACATCATGTCAATCGCGATAAAAGTGCCAGTTCGTCCCACACCGGCGCTGGGAGGGCCAAGGAGGTTGAGGCGGGCACAAAGGGATGGAAAAGATGATGGGAGAAGAGATCGAAAAAAATCAAGTAAATTGCTACCTTCAGAGGAATGGTTGTTCGTCATTTCTCGCAATATGGAAGGTAGGTGTGTGCCACGAGACTAACATGTCAAGTCAACGTTGTGGAAAGTCGAAGAACTCTAACTTGGACTGAAAAATGATTGCTGGTTGTCTTGCCCGGCTGAGAAGCCTAAGACAAATCTAAATAAGTTGGGTGGTATGCAGAGTAGAAGACGATCTAGGAACTCGTGAAAGGGCTCAATGCGTATTCAAGAAGCGAAAAAGCGCAAACAGAAATGATAAAAAGGTCACAACATTCCAAATAAAAGTAGTTAAATAATGCAATCAAAGGTGTGTTTAACAAAATTTA